GGCTGTAGATAAGCTGCTAACTTGGAATAAGTATATCCAGTACTTCAACACTTGGCACTGATAGAGAGTGATGAAACTTCAGCAAGATCACTAGTGAATGAAACATTTCTCAACACCGTATACTTTTGCAGATCTTTGATGTAGGAGAGAATCTGACCGTCCCTGATGAGTTCACAGTGGAAGAGAGGCAGACGGGGATGTGGTGGAGACACCTGGTTGCAGGTGGAGGTGCAGGTGCCGTGTCCAGAACCTGTACAGCTCCCTTGGACCGCTTGAAAGTGCTCATGCAGGTATGGTGGAGCAGTTCCAGTTGGTCTGAATACCCAGGCAGACTCCTTTGATATTCTTGGATGCCTAGGAGATGATAATGTTCATTAACACAGTACAGCACTCTGGCCAGGATTAATGTCATTGCTCTTACTGCTATTTTTGAAAGCTTTTTGGATTATTCGAATGATCAAAGTGATGTTAAGAAGTTATTCTTCATTAACTAGAAATACAGGAATCTTTTGGGAGGTAGACATGAAAACTGTCAATAGTTGGAGAGCTTTGTGGTTTAGAGCACTGGGAAACTTGGGTTTCGGTGAAACAGGTTCAAGTCTTGTGCTCTCATGAGAGACCCTGAGGCCACAAGAGTTGAAGTGGTTGTGGTGGTCAGCTGGCAGAGCTCATACTCAGTATAAGTATTACTAGCATTAGAAAAAAACTGATTTTAGCCTGCTTTGTCACTGTACCTGCTCTTGAGCCAGCTGAGAAGTAGCTCAATGTAGTAGCAGATTGAGGTGGCTGATCCTACGCTAGGTGTGGGAGTTGCCTGTTTAACCTTTCCTCCCATTCCAGAGAGAGATTGGTTAGATTCCTGAGTTAAAACTAGACTTGGCAAAAAATAAAAGAAACTTGCTTTCCTATTGTAGAAGTGATCTGGAAAGGATTAAAGCCTTGGCAAACCTCTGGGTAAATAGAAAAGCGCCCTTTTGTCCCTGGATTATGGAAGAACGTAGCACTGTCGTAATCAGGACTGGAACTAATCCACGCCTGTGCTCTCTCCCAGGTTCACGCCTCCCGCAGTAACAACATGTGCATCGTTGGTGGCTTTACCCAAATGATCCGAGAGGGTGGACCGAGGTCACTGTGGCGAGGGAATGGCATCAACGTGTTGAAGATTGCACCGGAATCTGCCATTAAGTTCATGGCCTATGAGCAGGTGAGTAAAAGGGCACAGATGAGTCTGGCTGCGGAAGGGTTTGCAGGAGGACAAGCTGAAAAAAGAGACAGCCTGACATAAGTCAGTGAGCCTCAATGTCTGTCTGTCTTGGCTTCTACAGATCAAGCGGTTCATTGGTACTGACCAAGAAATGCTGAGGATTCACGAGCGGCTGTTAGCTGGGTCGCTGGCCGGGGCCATTGCGCAGAGCAGCATCTACCCGATGGAGGTGAGGCGCGTGGCTGGTGGTCCAGCCCGTGAGGGGACGTGGCGAGGTGCTGAGGTGGGATAATGCGGGTAGAACATCAGCTCTATGATAGCTTAATTAACGAGTTCTCAGAGGTAATATCGGGTAATTTTGCTCGCATGACACTTCTTGTAGTCCTGACCATTGTGCTCTTAAGAGTGACACTATCTGTACATTGTTCCCCTATTGATTCTCCTGTAGGCCTTCATGGTCTTTATTCTTGCCTTCTAGGTTCTGAAAACACGGATGGCTCTAAGGAAGACAGGACAGTATTCAGGCATGTTGGATTGTGCCAAAAACATCCTTTCAAAGGAAGGAATGGCTGCCTTCTACAAAGGCTACATCCCCAACATGCTAGGAATCATTCCGTATGCTGGTATTGACCTGGCAGTCTATGAGGTACGAAGCCTTTAACCTTTTGTAGGGCTGTGCTGCTGGTGTAGCTTTGTCACTGTCAAACCTGTCAGTTACTACAGGAGTTTTAAGTAATTTTTCAGAGCTTTCCTCATCAGCCTTAAGGGGTGCAAATGGATTTTTAGTCAAAATGACCTAAAAGATAACCCAGTACGATTCCCCTTTCCTAGTCAACATGATGCATGGTCCCTTGCTGTGTTTCGTGTTTGTTTTTTTTTTTTTTTTTTTTTAAAATAAAAAACCCCAACAGCAAAAAATTTAAACAAAGCTTCTTGCTGGGCACTGGCAGTAGCTCAGAAAAGATTTGAGAAGCCTGGTGCTTCTGGCTGACTTTGCACATAGCTTTCTGGGCCTTTACGCTAGATCTTTTATGTAATGTGGTATTGTTTTGATTGCGTCTTCACTGCTAACAACTGACTTTTTCCTTCCAGACACTAAAAAACGCCTGGTTGCAACGCTATGCTGTCAACAGTGCTGACCCCGGCGTCTTTGTTCTGCTGGCTTGTGGCACCATCTCCAGTACCTGTGGACAGCTTGCCAGTTACCCGCTGGCTCTTGTGAGGACACGCATGCAGGCCCAAGGTGAGAACTTCTGAGAATGGTGGGAACTGCTGTCACGGTCTCTGAGCAGGGGAAAGGTCCTTTAGTGTAAACATTGCAACAGCGGCCTTAGCGGGCCCCTGCAGCTGAGCGGTGTTTGCCGTGCTGCGAGAGGGCAGTGGACTTTGTGCTGCCCTCAGCACCTGAGCCAAGTGCCTCCAGGACAGAGGTTCGGCTCTGCTCGAATTGGGAATTTTGGGCTGAGGATGGGTGTAGAGCAGTTTGGGAAAAAGGCTGCGATGTGCAGCACAGCCGTGGCTTGCTGAGAAGTTAGATACTGTGCCCCATGAAGCAGCTTTGGTCTGTGAACATCCACAAGAAGCACATGAGTCGGAACTGCTCTGAGACAGGTGTTACTATAAGGTGTTTTCTGCACGTAGGGTGCATTACTTATTGTGGCTTTTCCCTGTTGCAGCTTCAGTGGAGGGTGCTCCCAAAGTGACGATGAGGGGACTGTTTAAACACATTCTGAAGACAGAGGGAGCGTTTGGTCTTTACCGGGGCCTGGCGCCGAACTTTATGAAGGTGATCCCAGCTGTGAGCATCAGCTACGTGGTTTATGAAAACTTGAAGATGACCCTGGGTGTGCAGTCACGGTGACCAGGAGATGCTGAGGACTTTGAACTCTGAAATCTTGGGGTGCAATCCCAAGACGTATAGCCATCTCTCATTCTGTGAATGTGTTGACACTAAGCTGACTAAGCAAAGCTGTGAAATCTCAGATAGTTTGTGAGTCAGTAAGGGGGAGGGGAGGTTCTGGTGTCCTTTGCTATCTTGCTACTCAGAGCTCCACATAAACCATCATGTGGCCCCTTTTGTTGGGCCTTTTGGGAGACCAGGAGGTGAACTCCTGGGAGATTCTTAAGGTGTGAATTGCTGAGGGCAGTTCGCAGCAGTATGGCAGAGTAGCAAAGGTTTGGGTAACAGGTCTGCTTTCAGCGTGTTGCGTGTGCAGAGCTGTTTGCCTGCGGATGAGCACCTTCTGACTTGCCGAAAGAGCTTCTTTTTCCATTCGGAGAGCTTCTTTTTCCATTCAGTTGTTCAGCTTCCTACCCGTTGTTTAAATTTGTACAAACCTTGTGTAGGAGCTGCTGCCACACCAGGCTTGTTGTTATGTTTACATATATTCCTTTGGGTAGGAGACGTTCATGTTCTGCTTCCAAGACTTGATGTGAAATGTAACTTTGAACTATACTGGTTTTGAGGGCTGGTGGGCAGTGGTTTATCCAGTCAGGCTGAAGATTACTTAGGCCAGCCTGATGAAGAATTAGGATTATTTATTTTTATAGTTTAAAGTGTGTCTCATAAATCCACTAACAAGATGCACTTACTCACAGAAGCAGCAGACTAGAGCCTGCATGCCTGTATCTTTTGCATGCCGGGGTTGGCTTGTCTTATACTCAGCAGGGGCTTGGAAGGGGGAAGGCAGGAGAGCCCTGGATAGACTGGCACCTTGATGCATGGCTTTAGTGAACAAAAGACAATATTTCACAGCTCCTGTGCAGTTGTGCTCGCAGCACGACTCGAGAGCCCCTCTGCAGCGTTGCATGGACCTCTGAATTCCATTCTGCCTGGTGCCAAGGATGGCTGGTGGACCTTCTCCAAACCCTGTGCCTATGCTGCTATCTATCTCTTTAGACCTCTTTGTAGATCGATGTTCAGGTTTGCATTAGCGGGATGGAGTCCCCAAGCCAGGAGTATGTCTGCTGTGGGAAGGGGTGTTAGGGAGAGGGGCTGGTTGTCACTGGGGGAGGTGAGCTTTAAGTCTGGAAGACATGCTTGCTTTTTTTTTCAAAGGGTGCTTTTCATAAGGCTAAGGGATAGAGATGGCTTTAAAATTTCTCTGAATGCATTATGGGCTACTTTAGTTGATAGGATCTGGCTTTTGTGGCCTGGGAGATCCTCATCCAACTTTTCACTTTGGGCAAAATGGACCAGCGTTGCATTCCACTGTTTTACTGCTTAAAGCATATTTATTTTGTATTTATTTGAACAGAGTTATGTCAGACTATTTTTATAGACTTGTTTAAATATTGTTACTGTGCTTGTATTTCTCCTGTTTTAAGAAGTTCTCTATTTGTTCTCTTACATCACACAGCTGAGTCCTAGGGAGGGACGCTAAAGTCGCTTGTGTACCTTCCCTTTGGGGCGTGAGCTGCCTTTCCCACGTCTGGGGTTGTTGCTGGAGGACCTCAGCCCAGAGAAATGCTGTAGCAAGAAGCCATAGGAGAGAAGGGAGCTGGTGAGGAAGCAGTACCCGGGGAGGAGGGGAGAGGGTGCGCTGTGAGGGTTGCCTTGTTTTGGAATTGCCTCTGTGCGTGGCCGAAAGGGTTTTGGGTGGATGGCTGAAGTTGGGAAGTAGAAGGTCTGCGTATGTTGGATGTCACAACGGCTAATTGAGAGTGATCTGGGGGGCTCTTTAGGTAAGGGGAGAGGGCAGAAATCTCAGGAACTACGGGAAAGACAAGTTTCCAGAGAGATGGAAGGAAACTTGCACTTGGACACAAGCTGCTGCAGTTGGGCTTGGAGGCTGAATCAGCAGACCCCGCTGCTGAGCCAGTGCTCTTCACGTGCCAGCGGGCGCTGGGGAGAAGTCTGTGAGAAATCGGAAAAGGGTTTGCTAGCACTCAGCAGCTGCTTTTTGGTTGACAGATTTTGGTGGTTCATGGAGAGTATTCCAGGGGGTCTCTGCCTTGACTACCCACTGCTGTCAGTAGTTAGCCACGTGGAAATCTCACCAGTCTGGATTAGTGATGTGATTTTTTTTTCCACCCCCCCTTCTTGAGACCTTCATGAATCCTGCAGTGGCTCCTTCCTACCAGTGTGGCCTAATGGGAATATGAATATCAGAATGCAAACATCAATGCAAAATGACAACCATCTTTGTAGCTGTAACCACAAATTGTTATAATGCAAATCTAACTCGGATTCTTCATGTAGGGAACAGTCTGCTAATAAAGGTCTGTCAGAGATGCCGCGTGTCTGCGTCTCTTGCTCGATACGGTTTATTGGTGCTGTTCGTGGCCAGACTTTTCCTGGGATGGTTCTCGCCAAGGACGCTGGCACTGGGAAGGGCTCTCCCTACGAGGACCTGGGAGAACAGAACTCCTCTTAAAGACAAAACCAGCAAACCTGAGCTCACGGCTACTGGTGGTTGTGGTGAGCCAGGGCTGTTCAGATGCTGTTAACCTGTCTGTGAGTGTCCATAACTCTCTGTTCGGAGAAGTGAGTTTCCCAGAAATGCTGGAAACTCTGCAGTCCAGTTATGCCCTCAAAGGAACCTGGCTTATAGGGTTTTCAAAAGAAAGGCTTTATACAATTTTTTTGTTCAACAAATAAAGACCCAAGCAGGAGCTGTCCTTGAAGGTTGTTCAGGAACCTTTCAGGCAGGGCAAGTGGACTCTGATTTGGTTAGCAAAACTTGCTGCAGGGGCCAGCCTGGGTTTGTTGCTTCCTTATGTCTCTGACTGTAATTCAAGGCTTTTATTCAGCTATAAATCTACTCATAAAGTCAGAGTCCTTGCAATCTGAGCCACTGCTTTCCAGCAGTGTCAGCTTTGGTCAGCTGAGACGCTTATCGACGCTCTGACTGCAGTGCTCAAGGCCGCTGGCAGCATCCCCTCTGGTACTGCTGCCTGCTACTGCCCTTTTGCTGTCTCACTCCTTGGGGCAGGGGTTGTCACAAGCTGAGGGAGGTGTGTCTGGAGCAAGGGCTGGCCAGGTACCTATGCCCTGAGACCAGGGGGGAATCGTTTTTACTTGACCTTGTAAAACTCATTTTTGCTATGGGAATTGTGGCCAAGGCTCAGCGCTGAAGTGCTGCCCAGTGATGGCTGCCGGGCAGGGCCAGGGCACCCTGGTGCCACAGAGGAAGGAGCAGGGCTCCTCTTCGCTCTGCTCCCTCCAGCTTTCCTCCTGTTCTTCCTTTTTAAGGAAGAGAGATATTTTCAGTGCTTAATTACTAGGTTAGAGCTGGGGCTGAATTACTTTCCAGACACGCAGCAAAAGCAGTCTCTTTTTAACACCCCCCCCCGCCCTTTCACGACACAGGGTGCCTGTGCTTCCCTCCCCTCGGGGCTGGGGGTGCGATGAGGGTTGCGTGGGGTGCCCGAGGAGCGCTGGGCTGTACCAGGGGCATGGTGAGCAATGCCAGTCTTGACACTTGAACCCTCTCCCCTCCAGGGCGCTGAGCTTGTTGGGGAACGAGGAAACGTGATCAAGTGAAAACCCAGCCTGGGTTGGCTTAGCACCCCTCCCTCTCTCGCAGGAGGTGATTTTCCACCGTCGTCACCCTGGGTTGCAAACCTTGCTGCGGGTGAACGCTGTCAGGGAGCACTCGCCTGGTCCGAAAGGTCTGGGCAGGAACATCTGCCCCAGCTGGGCTGCCTCTGCCTGTCGAGCTGCTGCCAAGAGGATCGGGTGGGGGCTGCTAGCTAAGCTGCATCCCCTCGGTTAAAGGAGGGGATCCATCCTGTACGGCTAAAGATGTTTCCTGCTTTCTACATACTCCAGTTACTCATCAAATGCTTGGCATGCTCATTTAAAATAGTTAATGATTGCCCTCTTCTGGTTAGCCTCTATACTGCTTCCCTGAAGTGCTGCCCTTTTAGCAGAGCTCTCAAGCTTGGTGTGAAGCTGAGCGCACTGAGTCAGCGCTGGAAAATCCTCCACGTGTCACCTTGTGTCACCTTGTCTCGCATCCCTCACTGCTCAAGGTTGACTTTTCCCAGCTCCCAGCTGGATGACACACGAGGTGAATCATGTGTTCAATTCCTTTTTGCAAGCCCTGCTTCTGATCCCTTCGGAGCCCCTGCTCTCCAACATCTCAGCAGCAAAACGCATCGAATGTGAGGAAAACTTTTATTGCCTAAGGCGGCCTCAGGTGCCCGTGCTGCCCGGCTGGTGGGTACCTGGTGGGGGTGGTGCTGGGACCGCAGCCGTCGGCTCCGTGCAGGGGCTGTTTCCTTGCTCGACTTCTTGCGTTTGACACAGCTCCTTCCAAAACAACAACATCAGGGTAAGTGAAACTGCCAGTGCTCCAGCGGGAGAGAACTTACTGAAGAAAGCAGCATTTTTCTTTTTCCTTTTTATCTGGTTATGAGTCTGAGGGCCTAGGGAAGCTATGGGCTTCCCCACGCTGCCCTGATCACGGATGCTGCTTGTCCGGGTGCTGAGCTGCTGCTGGTGCTGTTTTCCATGCCTGTGCTGTGAAGAGGGAACCTGCTTTCTGGGGCAAAGCTGCGCTACGCTGCGGGGTCAGTAAGTGTGCTCTGAAGGAAAGGGGGATTCAGGCTTTTCGAGAAAGAATTAAAAAGCTCCTGCTGCCCAGGCACTCGGCGTTAGGGCGGTTTGAGTTCTGCATGTGCCTCAGGCTGAAGCGGGGGTACAGGAGTCCCTGCTCTGGTGCTCTGTTCATGTCCATCTCTTTCAGCCTGATGACAGAGGTCCCCAAAATCTATTCTGCATTTAATTGGTTTCATTTTATTCCTCAGACGCGGTGTCCTGCATCCTGGCCGGGCACGAGACCCTGCTCTGCCAACAGCAATTGCACCGGAGCTTGTAAGGACCAACAGTTCTGGGTGCTTCCACTCGTCTGGGCTTTCTCTAAACGTCACCTGTCCTCCCCAAATTGAAATGGGACCCAGCTGGTAACTGGGGGGAGCTGGGCCCTGCCTCCCAGGTGCTGCCCGTTGCCTAACGGGGAGAGGTGACCTGCCCATGCCCCACCCTGAGGGTTTCAACCCATGCCTGTGTCCCTGGCCCCACGTCCCTGCAGCCGCGGGGCACAGTGCTGAAAGAAGCATCTTGAGGCAGGGGGGTGTTGGGGGCTGTGTTGGGGCCAGTCTGGCAGCTCGGAGCAGGGTTTTGGGCACCTCTGGAAGCTCAGGGTTTCGTGCTGTGGACAAGAAAATGACCAGGACAGAAATGGAGGGGGGGGACAGGAAAAGGTAAGGGTTTTTTTCAGCCCCCATCTTGCCAAAGGGAGCCCCGTCGAGCTGGCTTGGGGACCGGGTCTTTTTCAGGATAAAATGTGCTAAATTGGGTGGTAGGGGTTGGGGCAAGGGCTGGGTCTGGTTAACGTTTGGGCATAAAAACTAAAGGAAAAGGTCTGTTTTTGTGGGAGTGGGTGGCGTTGCCTCTTTCCTGACCTTGTGTGGGACTAGGAGCTCGGGGCTGG